TTTCCCCATGTCTCATTTATTTAATTCCTCGATTAATATGTCTCAATTTATTTATTTTAATTCCTTAATTAATTATGGCCCTGGCCAGTTGTGAAGATTTTGTTTTCTTTACACTGAGGAACAATCCATACTGTAGGCTGTGATCTTGAATCTTCATCGGTATTTTAAGTCCTCTTCATTTTCAGTAAGCAAGGCTATATTATCTGATATCACAGGTTGTTAATGAGTATTCCTCTAACCCTGATGCCATGTTCTTCCTCACATAATTCAGCTTCTTGGATTATTTGTTAAGCATACACACTGCATAAATATGGTGAAAGAATACAGCATTAGCAGACAATTTTACTAATTTTAAACCACTCAGTCTCCCATTCGAATGACTGTCTCTTGGTCTGTGTACAGGTTACTAACAAGCACAATTAAGTGTTCTGGAACACCCATTCTTTGCAATGTTATCCATAGCTTGTCATGATTCACACAGTAGAAAGCTTTTGCATAGTCCATAAAACTTAAGTAAACATCTTTCTAGTATTTTTGCTTTTAGCCAAGCTCCATCTGATGTCAATAATGATATCACTCATTCCACATCCTCTTTTGAATCCGACTTGAGTTTCTGGCAGTTCACTGTTGATGTATTGTTGCAGTTGTTTTTGAATTATCTTTAGTAAAATTTTACTTGCCTGTGGTATTAATTATAGTGTTCAATGATTTCTGCATTACATTGGGTCACCTCTCTTTGGAATGGTCACAAATATGGATCTCTCCCAATCAGGTGACTAGGTAGCTGCCTTCCAAATTTCTTAGCACAGACAAGTGAGTGTCTCCAGTGTTGCATCAGTTTGTTGAAAGATTCTATTTGTATTCCATCAGTTCCCAGAACCTTATTCTTTGCCAATACCTTCAGGGCAGCTTGCACTTCTTACAGCAATGCCATTGGTTCTTGATCATATGCTACCTCTTGAAATGGTTGAACATTGACCATTTATTTTTGGTATGGTGACTGTGTATACCTTCCATCTTCTTTTGATGATTTCTGCATCATTCAGTATTTTGTGCATAAAATATTGCAAGTCAAGGCTTGAATTTTTTCTTAAGTTCTTTCAGCTTGAGAAATGCTGGGCATGTTCTTCTCTTTGGTTTTCTAACTCCAGGCATTTGCACATTTCGTCATAATACTTGACTCTGTCTTCTCAAGCTGCCCTTTGAAATGTTCTGCCCAGCTCTTTTACTTCCTCATTTCTTCTGTTTGCTTTAGCATCTCTACACTGGATGGCAAGTTTCAGCATCTCTTCTGACATCCATTTTGGTCTTTTCTTTATTTTCTGTCTTTTTAATGACCTTCAGCTTATTTTCCTGTATGATGTTCTTGATGTCATCCCACAGCTCTTTGGTCCTTAAAGTCTAATGCATCAAATCTGTTCTTGAGATGGTCTCTAAATTTAGGTGGATCTGTTCAAGGTCATATTTTGGCTCTCCTGAACTTGTCTTAATTTTCTCTTCCCCACCTGGCTGAGTTTTTCTCATCTTTCAAAAATCAACTCAAATTTTGATCCTCTGAACATTTTAGTTTTATCCGTATGGGCTATGGAGTCCTGGTATGGCATTGCAGTTTAATGCACTGGACTGAAAAGACAATTTGAACTGCAAGATTGGTGGTTCAACCTTACCAGCTGCTCCGTGGAAACCCTATACAGAGTCACTATGGGTCAGAACTTACTCAACGGCACTTAACAACAACTGCAAAATATAGGCTATAAATTTCTGACAAGTAAAGACCATGTCATATTTTTTATAAATGTTTCTTTGAAAAAATGAATTAATTAATCATTTAATGTTGTTAAGTACTATCAAGTGAATTCTGATTCATAACAACCCTTATGTTGTTTCTGAGGAGCAGCTGATGGGTTTGAACTGCCGACCTTGTGGTTCATAGTCCATTGCTTATCCTACAGTGCCACATGATAGAAGGCAAAAATAAGCAATAATAAAAAATTTTATCATTATTTTTAAGAAAGAAATAACATTCACTAGGATCCATCTGCATTTATATCCATAAACCTCTACTTCATTCTTTTTCCTCCTCTCTTTGAATACACACAATTGGTAAAACTGAATTCCAGTCTGTAGCTGTTCAGAGTCAGATAGGTTAGAACTATATTCATCCATGATTAACAATAGAAGCTGGAGAGGTCAAAAATTGAACACAGAAAACTGAAGAAAAATTTAAAGGCATGGAAAATGTTCCAAAACCCAGAGTTTAAAGCCAGAGCCAAAGTAACATAAAAATTATGTCCACACATTCTGTGATACTCCTTTTTTTTCTAAACTTTGTATTGTGAATCAAGTGAAGGTTTACAGACAAGTTCTAGAGTCAACAAATCCTACCCTTTGTTTCATCTCAGTGATTGCAATCCCCTCCCTGAAACAACAGTTATCCCACATCCTCCCTGTATTTCCTGTTTCCATTCCACCCACTTTCCCATCCCTTATCAACTTTGTCCTTAGGTAAATGTTACCCTTATGATTTAGAATGATTGAACCTTTCATGGTGAGCATACCTCACTAGTGTTGTTGACCCTTCTATGTAACTATCTACTGCTTGACTGAAAATTAGGCCATAAGAGCAAGTTCATTTCCAGATGTGAAGGGTGGTTGAAGGCCATAGTCTTGCATTACTACTGTCTCTTTCTGACCAATGAGCCAATCCTTTTTTTTTTTTTTTTGTAATTTTGAGTTTTGTTCCACATTTTCTCCCACTCTATCCATTACTTTCTAATGTGATCCCTTGGTAGTAGTAGCACCATCTAGTTCTTCTGGTCTCAGAGTTGTGACAACTGATGTTCACATGTTCCATTAGTCCATTGGACTAATTGAATCCAAACATCTTCAATTCTTGTCATTCTTCTTTCTTCTGCACATGGGGAGACCAATAGTTGTACCTTAAATGACCACTTATGAGCTTTTAAGATCCCAGATGCTACTCACCAAAGTAGGATATAGAACATTGTCTTTGTGGACTACGTTATGCCAATTGACCATGGTGTCTTCTGAGACTATGTTTGGCACTCCTATTTCCAAACGGTAGAACCTAATTTCCTTGCCCTTGAGTGTAGACTGGATTTAGAGACTAGTATCTCTGGTAGCATAGTGGTTACAAATTGGGCTGCTAATGTCACGGTCAGCAGTTTGAAACTACCAGTTGTTCCATGGAAGAAAGATGAGCCTTGCTGCTCCCGTGAAAGATTTACAGCCTTGGAAACCCTGTACTGGGTCACTATGAGTCAGAACGGACTCCATGGCACATAACAACAACAACAACAATCTAATGTTGAATAGTAGGTGATCAGTTCACAAAAAGCACCATATATCCTTCTCTCTGTCCAGATTACTTGCTCTGAAGAAGCCAGTGGCCATGTCATAAGGATACGCATAGAGCCTATGGAAAGGCCCATGTGAAAAGGAACTGAGACCTTCTGTCAATAGTTTCATCATGGAAGTAAATTTCCAAAACTTCAGACAACTGCAGGCCCAGATACCATTTGAGAATCCCTGAGCCAGAACCACTCAGCTAAACTTCTTTCAAATGTCCTGCCCACAGAAACTGTAATATAACAACTGATACTTTAAGCCATTAAATTTTGAGGTAATTTGCTACATAGCAATAGATAACTAATACAAGGTGAATACTCTAGGGTATAGGTTACAGATTGGCAGTCCATAGCAAGATTCAGTCTATAAATGTATTTTTTTTTCTGTTCATAGTAGTGGTGACTGTTTTTGTTTTGCTTTTTAGTCAGTAAAAACTTTAAAAACATTGCCTTTATTAGAAATCTAGATTTTCAGCATCTCTCAAAATTTTAGATTTGGCAACATAAGGCCCTGCATCTCCACCTAACAACCATCACAAGGAGCAGAGAACCCAACTTCTGCCACAAACAAGGCATGTTTTCTCAGGTTTACTGCAGTCACCATGGGCTCCTGATACCCCCATACTGACACACCAATGGTCAGTTATGATTTAAATAGTTCAGGCACCAAAGTTTTTTACTAGTAGAGAAATACTTTCAGCTCCAATATCTCTATCAAAAGTAGAACAGAAAAAGATATACTAAAAGAATTGTGTTTTTGTTTTGTGTTGTTTTTGTTTGTGTATGTATCAAGGGCTGACTTTCAATAGATCACAGCCAGGAACTGCTCTGCTACCAGAAGCAGGTCATCTAGGAATAGTTTAGCACCAAGCTCTCTACATACATGTAGTATGTGACAGTCAGAGGGATCCTCAAAATCTTAAAGGTAGCAACAAAGATTATAACATTACTTTCCTCTCACAATTGCTTGTTTTGAGAAGAACCTTGCTACAATCATAACATCTACTGCATATTTTCCTGGTTTTGCACCAGAATTTTCATTTCCAATATTCAGCAATTGTTTAGGCTGAGTTTCTTATTGATGGTTCAAATTATGTCTGACCATACCCATTAACTAACCAAAGAGATAGTTCCAAGTACAACACCTACTTTACTATAAATTTACATATCTTTCCTTTACTGATATTTCTAGAAAACAAACCTTGAACTAGAAGCATGGGTCAGCAAGCTGCTGGTTACATCTAACCCACCACCAGTTTTTGTGAATAAAGTTTTATTGGAACGCAGTCATATTCATTTATGTATGTATTGTCTGTGGCTGCTTTCATATTACAAAAGCTGAGCTAATAGCAGCAACAGAGACCTATAACCCACGGCCTAAAATATTTACTACTTAGTCCTTTATGTCTAGCTAACTCCTGAGATAGAAGGGTAAAATATAAATATTTTGGTGGTCAATAAGCCAAGAACATATTATACTTCAAAAGTGCACAACATGAGAAGGAGTACAACTCGCAGCCCATCTTCAAAGTATTTGAACTGTGATTTACAGTCAATAATTCTGAGGCTTTCTTTATTTACAAATGCACAAAACAGAACATTTGTTTCAGCGTGAAAATGAAAAGGACTCACCGTGGCAAGTTTCTGAACATCATCATCAGAAGCTCCCAGAGATGCCAGGCCTATTTCTTGTGAAAACTGAGCAAACTTAGGATCTGCAAGTAATGGGACGTGACCTAGGAGTTCATGACATGTGTCTCTGAAAAGAAGAACATCATTAAAAAAGTTACACAAGAAGCTTTAAATGATTATTGGCAGAACAAAACTTGAAATCTCAAAGACAGCCTTGTTACTATAATTAATTGCTTTATCATATCTTATCAATTCTTTAGACTTTATAACCTCTTAACATTTCTGAAATCTAGAAGCATCTTACGATAAGTGTCTTCAATTATGATATATAATCATTTTCATAAAATAATAGAGATTACTACTTTCAAGTGTTTTCTATATGCCAACATTATGGTAAATGTTTTCTTATATAAATTTTCTCATTTAATCCTCAAAACAAACTTCGAAAACTAAAGAAATATATTAATCCAAGAACCTATAGTAAACTACAGCTCACAGGCTGAATTTCACCCATTGCATGTTTACGCAAATAAAGTTTCATTGGAACATAGCCACATTCATTCATTTATGTATTGACTATGCCCAATTCAAAGAGAGGTGACTCAACAGAATGCGGAAATCATCAGACAATCTCTTAGATATCTCATACGAGTAAAGTTTTGCTAAAGGTAATACAGAAACGGCTACAATCATACATTGACAGAGAACTTCCAGAGGTGCAAGCCGGATTCAGAAGAGGCTGTGAAATGAAGGATATCATTGCTGATGTTCGATGGATTTTGGCTCAAAGCAGAGAATATCAGAAAGATGTTTACCTGTGCTTTATTGACTACTCAAAGGCTTTCAATTGTGTGGATCATGACAAGCTATGGACAACATTGCAAAGTATGAGTATTCTGGAACACTTACTTGTGCTCATGAGGAATCTGTACCTGGACTAAGAGGCAGTTGTTCAAACAGAACATGGGAACACTGAATGTTTTAAAATTAAGAAAGTTGTGGGACAAGATTGTATTCTTTCACCATACTTATTCAACCTGTATGCTGAGCAAATTATCCGAGAAGTTGGGTTCCATGAAGAAAAACATGGCATCAGGATTAAAGGAAGACTCATTAATAACCTGTGATATGCAGATGATACAACCTTGCTTGCTGAAAGTGAAGAGGACTTAAAACATTTACTGATGAAGATCAAAGAGCACAGCCTTCAGTATGGATTACATCTCAATGTCAAGAAAACAAATATCCTTACCACTGGCTCAATAAACAACATTCTTATCAATGGAGAAAAGATTGAAGTTGTCAAGGACTTCATCCTTCTTGGATCAACTATCAACACTCATGGAAGCAGCTGTCAAGAGATCAGATGATGTATTGCATTAGGCAAATCTGCTGCACAAGACCTTTTTAAAGTGTTGAAGAACAAAGATGTCAGCTTAAGGACTAAGGTGTGCCTGACCCAAGCCATGGTATTTTCAATAACCTCATATGCATGCAAAAGCTGGACGGTGAATAAGGAAGACCTGTAGAAGAATTGATGCTTTTGAGTTATGGTATTGGAGGAGAATATTGAAAGTGCCATGGGCTGCCAAAAGAACCAATAGATTCATTTTGGAAGAAATGTAGGCAGAGTGCTCCTTAGAGGCCAAGATGACCAAACTTCTTCTCTGATACTTCGGACATATGGTCAGGAGGGACCAGTCACTGAAGAAGGATATTATGTTTGGTAAGTTAGAGGGTCAGAGAAAAAGAGGAAGACCCCCAACAAGATGGATTGGCCTACTGGCAGCATCAAGCGTGGCAACAGTAGTGAGGTTGGCCCAGAACCGGGCAGTGTTTCTTTCTGCTGTGCATAAGGTTGCTATGGGTTGGTATCAACTCAGTGGGTTCTAACAACAACAACAACAACAACAACAACAACAACAACAACATGGCTGCTTTGGAGTCCTGGTGTGGCATTGTACGATAAGCACTGGACCACAAGATCAGTTTGAACCACAAGGTCAGCAGTTCAAACTCACCAGTCACTCCTTGGAAACCCTATACAGGGTAGCTATGAGTTGGAACCAACTCCAGCACTTAACAACAACAACAATGGCTACTTTTAACTGTAACAGCAGAGTGGAGTAATTATGACTAAAACTGTATGGCCCTTGACACCTAAAATATCTACTAGTTGGCCCATTAAAGAAAAAGTTGCCAACTCTTACTACATAAAGATAGTGATGAAGCCAAAACTTGAATCTAGATTTGTATGATTTCCAATTGCTTTTAACCCTTAAACTGCAGTGCATCCCATGTTATACTTTGTGAGGCTGTGAGGCACTGGGAAATAGCAGAAGACCATATTGTCATCATGAAAGTGACTTTTTGCATAGGCAATTTATCTGCTCTTAACTCCAGCAACACCCTTTGAACCAGTACATTGAAAGACCATCTTAGTTCTCTCCTTTGATTTGACTGAACTAGGTAATGTTGTTGTTGTTGTTATTAAGTGCCATTGAGTCTATTCCAACCCATAGCAACCCTATATAGGGTTCCAAAGGAGCAGCTGGTGAATTTGAACCACCAACCTCGTGGTTCAAATGGACCTTGCAATCCAGTACATTATCCCACAGCTTTACAGGTAATGGTAGCAGCTTCAAACTCCTTATTTGCCTGAGCTTCCATTTGGAATCAATACCTGGGCAAAGGACAAGTATGTGTCTCAGTGAAGTAAGGCAGAAGTCTTGCTGAGTCATGACCATGAATCACAAACTGATACGGACCTATATTGGAAGGGATTTCTCTCTAATTCTCTGTAACATTTTATTTTCTTCACAAAAACAAATGACTAACTAGGCAGAGAGTAATTTATCCTAATTTCACCTGTGTTCCTCTGAAGTGCATTACTTCAAATAGGTGCTATAATGTGTGGCATTGTGGATTAATGTGCTGGACTGCAAAGACATGTTTGAACTGCAAGGTTGGTGGTTCAAGCTCACCACCCACCCCTACGAAACCCTATAGCAGGATCACTTTGCTATCGGAACCAACCCATTGGCAATTAGCAACAACAACAATACCACTGTTACTGGAGTCCTGGGGTTGCACTGTAGGATAAGCACGGAACTGCTGACCTCAAGATCAGTAGCTCAGTTCCAATAACTGATCTTTGGAAACCATAAACAGGATCATCACAATGAGTTAGAACCAACTCAAGGGCACTTAACAACAACCGCTGTTATTAGGATCCCTGCCGGCATAGTGGCTAAGAGCATGGCTGCTAATCCTAAAGATCTGCAGTCCTAACCTACCAACTATTCCATGGGGAAAAGCTGTGGTGGTCTGCTTCCATACAGATGAATAGCCTTAGAAACCCTACAGGGTAGCTCTACCCTGGTCTATAGGGTCACGATGAGTCAGAGTCAAGTCAGTGGCAATGGGTTGGTTTGTTTTATCACTATTATTACAAATACAAAGTAGGTCACATCAGTCGTGCAGTTGAAGCAAGTGCAATGGCAGTTAAGGCACAGGACTGGTGTCTACATACAACAGATGGCGTCCCAGTCCAAAAAGCCTTGTTCCCATAGCTTCAAACCATAACCTCAACATTGGCCACCCATTTCACAGACACATCAGTTTAAAAGGAATGCAAAGTGAAAACATGGGAATTGAATACTAAAAGAAACTTCCAAGTCACCCCCTATCACCTGTGTGCCAAAAGCTTCCTCTTTGCATATAAATAGAATATGTGGAAAGAATATGAGGTGTTTGTTCCTTAGGCAAAGAATCAAAAACTCTCTGGGTTTAGGGTGAAAGGGAATTCAAATGTTATCTGAGCTCCTCATTTTAGAGATGAAGAAATTAAAAACAAGCAGACAGGACAGACAAGACATGATGAGACAGAGCAGTCAGGATGGTACAGATGGAACAAGACATACAGACAAGACAGGATGGGCAGAACAGAACAGACCATGACAACTAGCATGCTGACTGCCCTTTATATACTGGGTGCTGTATTCATCACATGACTAATTTAATGCTTTTATATCACATGACTAGAGTTGTTGTATGACAAAATAGGATAAGCACTGGACTGCTAACTGCAAGGTTAGCAGTTCAAACCCACCAGCTGCTCCTTGGGAACCCTATACAGGGTCTCATGAGTTGGAACCAACTCCAACAGCACTTTAACAACAGCCATCACATAACTAATTGAATCTTCACTTCAAAGGAAGCCTTATTATTTCCCTTTGACAAATGAAGGAACTTAAATTCAGCACACAAAAGCATCTCTTCCAAGGTCACACTATGATTAAGAGACCAGATGTGAGATCAAATTTTTCTGAATCCAATGTAATTCTCTTTCTGCTCTATTTTAACTTGTAAATGTATGCCAAATAAGACTAGACATGTGGGAAGCATGACTTAGATTGAGGAGACAGTTTAATCAAGTTTGTTAACACAAGTAAAAATGTAAGTTATTAAGTGTATTTCTTTCCTAGGGTTGCTGTGGTTTAATCACAAACTGAGCGATTTAAACAACAGAAATTTATTCTTTCACAATTCTGTAGGATAGAAGCCTGAAATCAAGGTGTTGGCAAGGTCATGCTCTCTCTGGAGGCTTTAAAGAAGCAGTCAGCCTTGCTTCTTCTTTGGTTTTAGCGGTTAAGGTCAAACCTTGCTATTCCCTGGTCAGCCTCTGTCATCACGTGATATTCTCCTTATCTGTTTTTCTCTGGATTGGATAACAGCCTGCCCTAACTTAGTATGATCTCATGATGAATAAACTAATTCCATATGTAAAGACCCTATTTTCAAATAAGGTCACATATTGAGGTTCTGGATGGACATTAATTTTGGAGGAACACTGTTCAAACAGTATTCTATTAATACTATTAAGTTTCTCAGTGGTTATCAAATTATTTGGGAAGACTTTTTTTGGAAATATCAATGTTTGGTTTCTACTCAACCAGACTCTAAAGTTAGACCTGTGCATCTGTATATTTTATAAAGCTTTCAGGTGATAATAAAATACAGCCAGAGCTGAGAATTCCTGCTAAACCCGGTCATGAAAAGACCTCTACCAGCATGCTTTAGTAGTTAAAAGTCTAGTGTGATTGCTTAATTTTGAGGTCTCCATGT